GTTTCTCTTTATCCTTTTAATTACCTCTCTCCGTATTCGTGTTATTAGATTTCAAGCGGGCGCGGTCAGAGCTGAAGAAGCGGTCGACTGATACGATGCGGCTCCAGAAGAAGGCGCGGAAGAACGGGAAGACAAGCGAGCTTCAGCGGGCGCTGCTGGACTTCAACGAGAGGCGCCACACGCTCGAGGAGGCAGAGAAGAAAGCCGTCCGCGCGGCGCTCGTCGAGGAGAGAAGTAGATTTTGCCTCTTCGTTGCCTTCCTCAAACCCGTTGTCGTAAGTACCCTAACCCCGTACAGTACAGTAGATTACATGCATTGGGAGTGAATGACCACCGGGTAAAAAAAAGGGTGGCGACTCTGGGTGGTAGCGGGTGAAAAGAGGTTGTTGCCAAGCATCGGGGCTCAGCATCGCTCTGACTCTCCTCATCAGGAGGAGTTTTTGTTTGACTCAAGATTTTGTGGTCCTACCTGCTTATCTGATAAAAGAGCCGTATGCAAAAATGACATTTTTCGCCCCCCCCCACTAAAACTTATTCAAACTTCGTCTATCAGTTACTAATATTGGAGCGCTTCTTTCCCCAAATTTTCAGACCCCCCAAAAATTTTGGGGGGGCGCTGGGGGGGGGGTGGAAGTTAAAACCTGTGAACCTCGATATCTTTCGAACGAAACAAGATATTGAGGTCTGGTTTGGACGAAAAATCGTCTAAAAATGTATACTTTAAAATTCTAAAGGTCAAAATCCCAAAATTACATTTTTAACTTAACTGATGTACTTTTTTTCAGTTTCTGAGGAAAAACATTCTCTTTAAAGACACCAAACTGAAAGAGTACAATTTTGTATTTGAACCAAAACCAGTTTTTTAAAATGCTCGTCTTTTTCCGCATCCAACGAGTGGTCATTTATGCTGGGGAACCGAACGGTTCCGGAGTTATGATCGATTGAAGTTTCCGCTCAACGCGCGCCGACCGATTTTCGCGCGCAACAAAGTCGGATTTGACTGTTATTAAATCAGATTGAATGTTCAAACTGAGTAAAATGCATTATTAGGGACTCTTGAGGGTCGCTGAGTTCAGAAATTACAGATACTTCCAAAAAATTCACGTTTTTAAAATTACAGCTCCGTAGCGCTATTTTAGAGGCTCAGTGGTCCTGTACCGGTTGTCACCGGTACAAGGGTAAGCGATGTTGGCTGGCTGTAATCAGTGCTACTATCAGTCGAAAATTGGTCATCAGATGAATGGCTGATCAGTTGTGTACGCTTGTCATCTTGTTATTTCGTTTTCTATAATTTTTGTGATTGGATTTTATATCTGCGTTATGTTAAAGAAAAATATGATTAAATAAATAAATGCCATTGATTTATAAATATTATCACCATTACAGAGATTTTTCAACCAAAGTCATTCTGTAACGATTCAACAATTAACCCTCTGCACGGAATCCAAGCAAGTTTATTATGAACTTTTATTTTCCCACCAGCACTACTGTCTAGTAACCCCACTGATAAAGCTATCATTTTTTCTCTTTCAGGATGAGGAAGTTGCAATGCTGTCAGAATTGTCACATTTGCAGGAGGTTGTCGATCAACTTGAAAAACATACAGCTGACCCTTATGCACTGCCACCAGCAAGTGAAGAGGTAAGAGTAGTGTAATACATATTCCAGCAAGGAACATGTCTTCACAGGAAAACTAAGTGCAAATACGTTGTTTTCAAAATTAGAAATAGTAGTCCCTTCAGGCAAAATATAGTCCCATTATTTTACTTCCTGAAGAAGAAAATAATTGAATGAGACATTGACTTTGAAAAATTACCTTTCATCTCATATAGAGGTGACTCATGACACATTGACTCCAATACAATGTGTTGATTAGGCGCGTCGTTGGCTCATATGTACCAACCTCATTAGTTTTCATTTACAGAGATTTTCATACAGGCAAGCAGCACATGAAGGGAATTCACGAACAACAAAGTGAGGTCAACTGCGCACCTCGACAAAACCGTCTATTGTGAACGTAGAAACCCATTTAAACGAGTTTTAGTTTTTTGATCTGTCTCAAGCAAAAACTTATCAGACTCTCGAAAAACAGTAGGTATTAAAACACCGATATCTTTGTGGTTAGTCGAAAAAGCTCAAACTTTCATAATTATTAATAGTTAAAGAGATATAACACTAAACTGCAATTTTAGAATTGATTAATCCCCCCTTATCTTAATAAATAAAGTGCCTGCTAAAAGGGTTAAATTGTAAATTTAAGGACCACAAAATCTTGAGTCATACAAAAGCTCCTCCTGATGAGGAGAGTCAGAGCGATGCTGAGCCCCGATGCTTGGCAACAACCTCTTTTCACCCGCTATCACCCAGAGTCGCCACCCTTTTTTTTTACCCGGTGGTCATTCACTCCCAATGCATGTAATCTACTGTACTGTACGGGGTTAGGGTACTTACGACAACGGGTTTGAGGAAGGCAACGAAGAGGCAAAATCTACTTCTCTCCTCGACGAGCGCCGCGCGGACGGCTTTCTTCTCTGCCTCCTCGAGCGTGTGGCGCCTCTCGTTGAAGTCCAGCAGCGCCCGCTGAAGCTCGCTTGTCTTCCCGTTCTTCCGCGCCTTCTTCTGGAGCCGCATCGTATCAGTCGACCGCTTCTTCAGCTCCGACCGCGCTCGCTTGAAATCTAATAACACGAATACGGAGAGAGGTAATTAAAAGGATAAAGAGAAAC